GCTGGAGATAGAGGGATAGAATTTTGCACAATCGATGACTTATTCACTGCAAATACATTTTATAAGAAATATAAACACAGACTATACACCTGGATTTTATCTGATACTATGCACAGGAATCAGATCAATTACATCTATAGAAAGAATTGCTGGAGAAGCTCAGTTCAGCTGTGAAAACTCAACCAGGTGCTGATTATGGAACAGACCACCAACTACTCATATGCAAGTTCAAGATGAAGTTGAGGAAAATTAGATCAAATCCATGGGAACCATTAATTTGACCTTGAATCTGGCCTGAATTTCAAAACCATTTTAGGAACAGGTTTGAGGCCTTGAACACTAATGAGTGAAGACCAGAAGAGCAGTGAGAGGATATCAAGAATAGCATCCAGGAAGAATGCATAAGGTCAATGCAAAAAAAGAGGAGAAAGAAAAGACCAAGATGACTGTCAGAAGAAACCCTGAATATTGCAGTGGAGTGTTGAGAAGTCAAAGCAAAGGGAAGAAATCTAGATATTAAGAAGTTGAACAGAAGATTACAGAGGGCAGCACTAGAAGACAAAGTATTACAATGAAATGTTCAAAGAGCTGGAGTCAGAAAATCAAAGGGGCCAAACTCACTCAGCATTTCTTAAACTGAAGGAGCTGAAGAACAAATTAAAATCTCAAGTTGCAATACTTAAGGATGCTTTGGACAGAATATTAGATGATACAGGAAGTATTAAAAGAAGATGGAAAAAGCACAAGAGTCATTGTACCAAAAGGAATTGACAGACACAGAAGAATTTCATGAAACAATATATGAGCAAGAGCCTGTCGTGATGAAGGAAGAACTTCACGCTGCTCTGAAAGAATTGGCAAAAAACAAGTCCTCAAGAATTGATGGCATACTGATTGACATATATAAACAGACATTGTTCTGAATGTGCTCACCAAGTTATGCCAAGAAAACTGAAGGACAACCATCTGGTCAACTGACTGGAAGAGATCTATATTTGTTCCCATTCCAAAGAAAGGTGACTTGACAGACTGCAGAAATTATCAAACAGTATCATTGATATCACATTCAAGCAAGATTCATCTGAAGATCATCCAAAAACGACTGAAACAGCACATCAACAGAGAACAGCCTGAAGTGCAGTCTAGGTCTAGAAGATGCTGTGGAACTAGGGATATTAAAACTAATGTTAGATTGATCTTGGCTGAAAGCAGGGAGTACCAGAGGAATGTCTATCTGTATTTCACTGACTATGCAAAGGCATTTGTGTGGATCACAACAAACTGGCTGACTGTGAGAAGAATGGGAATCCCAGAACACTTAGTTGTGCTTATGTAAAGCCTATACTTGGACCAGGGAGCAGTCACCAGAACAGAGGAAGGAAAAACTGTGTAGTTCAAAATTGGGAAGATGTGCATCAAGGATGTGTCCTATCTTCGTACCTTTTCAATCTATATATGAAACAGATTATTTGGGAGGCTGGGTTCTATGAGAGGAAATGTGCCATCAGGATTGGAGGTAGACTCATCAACAATCTGCATTATGCAGATGACACAACCCTGCTTCCTGAAACTGAGGAAGACTTGAATCGCTTGCTACAAAAGGTCGAAGATTGTAGCCTTCTATATGGATTGAAGCTCAACATTAAGAAAACAAAGATTCTTACCACTGGGCCAATTGGTAGCATCATGATAGAGGGTAAAGAGATTGAAATTGTCAATAGTTCTAGTTTGTTTGGCTCTACAATCAACACTTTTGGTACCAGTATCCAGCAAATAAAAAGACAAATTGCATTGGGAAAGTCTGCTGATTTTCCAAAGTACCAAGAGAAATGATGTCAGACTGGAGACTAAGGTGTGCTTGATCCAGGCCATGATCTTTGCAATTACTTGCCATGCATCAGAAAGCTGGACAATGACTGCTGTTTTTATGTGCCATCAAGTCACTTGCGATTCATAGCAACCCTATGTACAAGAGCCCTAACCGCCATTCTATCCTGTGCCAACCTCGCCATCTCAAACACACTCATTCCCACCACTCCAATCACAGAATTGTCTTCCTCTCCTGCACTGTCCCTCCACTCTCCCAAACATGATGTCCCTCTCCAAGGACCAGTCCCTCTTTGCAACATGCCCAAAGTATGTCAGACAAAGCTTCAGAATCCTTGACTCCAAGGAGCATTCTGGCTTCACCCTCTCCAGGACAAAAACCTGTTTGTTCTCCTAGCAGTTCATGGTATATTCAATACTCTTCTCCAGCACCACAGCTCAAAGGCATCAATTCTCTTTCTATCATCCCTAGTCACTGTCCAGCTCTCTGATGCATAGCACACAATTTTGAAGACTATGACCCAGATCAGGCGCACCTTAGTCTCCAGCCTGACATCACTGCTCTTCAATACTTCTGACATTTACCTTCCCAATACAATTCATCTCTAGATTTCCTGGCAGCTGGTATCAATAGTGTTGACTACGGAAGCCAAGCAAACTAAAACTGTTAACTATCTCAATCTCTTGACCATCCATAATGATGCTGCCAATTGGCCTAGTGGTGAGAATCTTTGTTTTCTTGATGTTGGGCTTCAATTCATATTAAAGGCTGCAATCCTTGGCTGTCTGCAGCAAGTGTTCAGGTCCTCCTCAGTTATAACAAGCAGGGTTGTGTCATCTGCATAACACAGGCTGTTGATGAGTCTTCCACCAATCCTGATGCCACATTCCTCCTCATACAGCCCACTGTCCTGGATTATCTGTTCTGTATACAGATTGAAAAGGTATGGAGACAGAATGCATCCCTGGTGGACACCCTTCCCGATTTTGAATCATACAGTGTCTCCTTGCTCTGTTCTGACGACCGCCTCTTGGTTCAAGTATAGGTTTCGCATAAGCACAATCAAATGTTCTGGGATTCCCATTCTTCTCAGAGTCAGCCATAGCTTGTTGTGATCCACACAGTCAAAAGCCTTTGCATAGTCAACAAAGGACAGATAGACATTCTTCTGGTACTCTCTACTTTCTGCCAAGATCCATCTAACATTAGCTATCATATCCCTAGTACCTCTTATAAACCCAGCCTGCACATCTGGCAGTTCTCTGTTGATGTGTTGCTCCAGTAGTTTCTGGATAATGTTCAGTAGAATTTTGCTTGTATGTGATATTAATGATATTGTTGGATAATTTCTGCACTCTGTCAGGTCACCTTTCTTTGGAATGGAAACAAATATCGATCTTCCAAACAGCTGGCCAGGCGGCTGCCCTCCAGATTTCTTGGCACAACTTAGTGAGCACATCCAGAGCAGCATCTGTTTGTTGAAATATGTTAGTGGTAGGCCGTCAACTCCTGGAACCTTGTTTTTCCCAACTCTTTCAAAGCAACTTGAACTTCCTCCTTCATCACCATAAGCTCTTGCTCATATGTTATTTCATGAAATTCTTCTGTGTCAGTCAATTTCTTCTGGCGCAGTGACTCTGTATACTCCTTCCATTTTCTTTTAATGCTTCTTGGATCATTGAACACTCTGTCCAAAGCATTTTTAAGTATTGCCACTTATGGCTTAAATTTGTTTTTCAATTGCTTCAGCTTAAGAAATGCCAAGTGAGTACGGCCCTTTTGATTTTCTGACTCCAGCTCTTTGCATATTTCATTATAGTATCTTGCTTTGTCATCCTGAGCTGTCCTTTGAAATTTTCTGTTCAGCTCTTTAGTTCCTTGATTTGGCTTCTTGGCACTCTAATGTAATATTCAGAATCTGGGCTGAAGACATATTACAGGGTCACAGAGTTTGGTGAGCAGAGGGAGGGGGTGAAGAAATTAGGAAAGATCCAGTGGAGATTTAAAAAGATGGGGTAACAGTGGAATGAAGTGGTATGTAATGGGATTTTATGACTCGATCAAGGTTGATGATACAACCTATATACCTCATGAAAGTAACATGGGAGCTCTAAATTGTACTTTGTCTCAGGATGTCAATCTATTTTTAGGTCCTCTTACAGCATTTATATTTGAATTCATTCTGTTTTAAAACTTAATTCAGAAAAACGTATCAGTAATGGACCCAAGTTAGTATGGATCTAGATCAATGATGATTAATTTTATAAGACACAGTGTATGGCAGTGATCACATGAAATACAAAGTGAATGAGGAAAAAATATTTAAAAAATACAATTTCTGTATAAGAGAACTGTCAGCATCAATGAAGATGATTTCACAGTGGCTGTACAGATGGTCCACACGTGCTTGCTAAAAGCTCACTGTGCCATCCATATCTCTCAGTGGTGCAAAAGTTGGCATGTGTGTCAGTAAATCAGTGTACTCATAGTGTTGCTCTTTGTTATTTAGATGCTCAATCTTCTTTTTTTCTACAGTAGTTGAGTAGAGATATGCAAAGATCAATACAGACAACAGGGTAAAATACTACTGGCCATTCTCTAGTTGGCAAAGTAATGGTCTAGATATTGTACTTCTGTGCAGAGTCTATTTAAAAAGCCCCAAACTGATATGTTGAAAAGATCAAGAGACAGCACAAAAGAAAGTATTATAAATAACGGAATATGTTATATATTATATAGTCTTTCTTTTGGTTACCCTTTCTTGCCTCCATCAAATTTAATGGTGGTAGAAATTTAATGAATTCATATCATGATTATATTAGGAGGGATCAGTGCTTGGAGAAAGACATCATGGTTGGAAAGGAAAAGGGTCACTGTAAGAGAAAAAGATCGTTAACAAGTTGGATTGACACAGTTACTGCAAAGAGTGCCCTCATAGTTTTGCTCAAGTATGTTACAGATGGTGAAGATGGAATAAGTTAGGATAGGTTTTAGATCAACTGTTCACAGGGTCACTGTGAGTCACAGCTGACTTGATGGAACATAACATCATCATCATAATCATCATGAAGCTAGAAGGGAGAGAAACTGGGTTATAAAGTCCCCCAGATCGGACACATTACAGATATAGTAACTGTAGCTTATAGTGGAAGGCTCAAACAATTTTATTTACCTGAGGTTTTCTGAGCTGAATTCTGACTCTAGAAATTTAAAGAACTGCTCTTTCCCAACTGGATCTTTCAAAGCTTCATCCATGCTAAAACCCCATCGCTTTACCCTCTGTTGGCTTGGTTCTTTGCTACAGGAGATAAAACAAAGTCAAATACACATTGTTTTCATTATAAATTCTACTTCTGTTATAAAATTTCCTCTCAAGATCATATATCTTTTCACATCTCTATTTCTTTTTTTCCTCAGGAAAACAAATCTCTGACAGAGGCTGTGTAAAAACATAAATCATAAAGTTCAGCATTTTTTTTGTAATTGTGTCCTAAGTGAATCATCTATCTTATTTTATAAATTTTATGATATAAATATCACTCCTATGTTTTGGATGGGAAAACTAAGGCAAAAAGAGGGTTAAAACTTGGCAGTGTCACAAAAGTAAAAAGAATGAACCAGACACGCTGACTTCAGAGCCCAGTCTCTAGGCATAATGAACCAGAGCCCAATCCTTGTTCACTTAGAGAATGAAATTCAATGGCCAGTTTCTCAACTATTAAAGCAGTCTGATGATGCGCTGTAGAGGCATGGGGTGATGCACTAGGGACTAACAGGCCTAAATCTTTGGCCATTATCTCTGTTATCAAATAAATATTTGATCACAAAAGTCTGGAGCTCTAGCTTCTTCATTTATAATATTTACACACTATGCCTAAAAAGTTCTGAGTTTGTCAACTGTTTAAGAACCAGTGTCTGGATTTAGAGGAAACCAGCACCCCTAGCTGCCACAGCATCTATTGTAACACGGCAGTACTAGTGTCATATCTGAACTGGGCTCCACAGACTTTCCAACAGTTATTCAGAAGTAGGTCTTGGCAAGATCTTTATTCTGAGGCACCATTGGGTGGACTAACTTTCAGTTAGAAACTGAATCACCTAGAGAACCTTACAGGAATCTGTTGCTGATTGCCTTTAAGTTGAGCATGGCTCATAGCGACCTATGAACAAAAGGCCTGAAGCCCCTCTACAACTATTGACGTTTATCAAAGTTCATAGAGCTTCCAGAGGCATGTTGTTTAGGAAATGGATGATATTCCTGCTTCCAATTAGAGGAAACCAAGGTCCATAAATACAATCTAGAGAGGTGCATGCAACACAACTCTAAATCCTCACTTTGTGAAGTGATAAATAACAGACTTTTTAATATATCAAGGGTACTGATACAACCTATATAGCTCATGAAAATTATAGAGAAGTTCTAAATAATATGTTGCTTGCCTCAGGAGGTCAACGTCTTTTTAGATTTCTTAGAGCATTTACAGTTAAGTTCATGTTGTTTTAAAACTTAATCTAAAAAATATTTGTATTGGACCTAAAAAAGTATAGAATAAGGTGAAAGATTAAAGAAAATTAATAGACTAAATAAATTTCAAAAGCCAAAGATTCCCGACTCTTGACAAGTCCATCTTGAAAATGCCTGTACCTCTGATTTTATACCACTCTTTCTAGCAGTGCAAATTTCAATCTTAGGTTCAAAACCATTGTCTTGATTTAGAAGTTGGTATCTAGAAGTTTCTATCTTATTGTACACAGAGCAATGTACAAAAAAGGATAATATTAAATTTTTATAATTAATTAGCTAGATAATTTGTCATTTATCTCTTAGACAAAAAACAAAAGGATACCTTTGAGAGAGAGAGGCAAATGCCACTTACCTTGCTTCAAGTTCCCAGAAAGTCGTATCATCGGACAGCCATGGGTTAGAAGGGTCAGGTGGCACAAGAAATGGGTCGTATTCTAAATACTGTTCCGTATAACCTAGTAGACTAGGGAGTAAAATATTTCAATTTTCCTTAGTTTTCTGGATAAGGTTAAGTTAGTCCAAAGCAAATGACACGTGATCAAAATAGCTGGCTGAGGAATTTTTATTCATTTAAAGAATAAGATTTAGTATACATTTAAAGAATAAAATTCAGTGGTAGTTTTTACATTCCAACAACTTAAATGCATCAATTTGTGCTTCTTGGCACACATGTAGTAAAGATGGCATCTCTCCTCATGCCTAGGCAAGTTGAATCAAGATCCCACCATTAAAATGAAACAAATCAGAAAAGTTTAGTTAAAGGGTCAGTGTCAACCTTTGGTCAGGCAGTGCAACCACTGATGGATTGACTACTGCCAACTCAGAGACAGAAGGAAACAAATTTACAAGGAACACCATGTATGTGAGTGATAAAAACATTAATAAAATTTTGACAGAGTATTTATAAAGAAAATGCTAAAAGAGAAGTAGTGACCAAAAAAAGAAAAATCCTGTAAAACCTGTATTTAAAAAGAAATAATGGGGAAAGAATTTGGAGAGGAAAAATTTGACAATCAGTGTCCAAAGCTAAAGAATATGAATGACACTAAGAACAGATTTAAGTGGAAACAAAAAGGGGGATAGCATCCATGAATTACTAATTCCAACTTTGAAGTCAAGCAATACACAGGACTGTGAGAGTTCAGAATAATTTCCATAGAGAATCGGAGCCTCTCTTTTTTCTTTGGAAATTATTCTCTGTATTAATGCTGGCTGCACAAAGTCAGGATATCCAGAGCTTTGAGACAACAAGAATCACGCTGATATTCAAATTCTAGCAAGAGTTCTTGAGAAAGGGTCTTTTAAAATGTGAGACAAGAAAGGAACAAGGAAAGAAAAGTCTTTCTAACAGGGTGTTGATTAATTTTGTCTCTGCCCTTCTTTCCTCATGATTTCTCAAAATTTTAAGGTGAAATTTAATATATAGTGGTATCTTTAAATACTTACCTATCAGCCACTTTTGACATTTTTAACCGATGTCTATCTAACTGTATTTGCCAGTATTTTATCTGAAAAGAAGATGAGAGAGGTAGTTACATAAGTAATGGCATTTCTTATAACCTTTACCTCTAAATTATGGCAGATTGGAAAATTCTGAACAAAGGTCTATTTTAAGTCATTGAAATGTCAAAATCAGTTTAAAAAAATGTTAGCCAAGGGCTTTAATAGTATTAACAACAACAACAAAAAAACAAAATGAGGTTGAAAGAGATGAAAATATTAATTTAGGTAAGTAAAATGCTTGAATATATTGACTTCTTCAGTGAATGTAACTTTATTTTGGTTAACATGCTAAAGATAAAATCACTAGAAGTGCTAAAATGTAACTTATATTAAGAGTTTTATGAACGTTTTCAACATTACATTTCAAATATCTAGCAACATTTCTCTAATTCTGAAAAGAAATCCCTTTTACTTATTTCTATAATTTAAATGATAATCCTACCCCCTAATATTTCAACAAGCATTGATGATAGGTGTTTTGAGAATGCTTGCATCAACAATTCGTCATATTGATGTAATCACACTTGGAAGAACTTTAATTAAAACTCAATAAGGAAATAAAAGGCATCTATGTGCAGATGATATGATAGTGATAGATGATATGATAGTGTATACAAACGGACACAACAAAAAAGAACTATTAGAGCTAGTGGGCCAATTTTTACAGTGGCAGAATAAAAGACTAATATACAAAAGTCAGTAGGATACCTCTACAGTAACAAAGAAAACACAGAGAAGGAAACCAAGAAATAATAACATTTACAATATTCAGCCACAAGTTGAGATACGTGAGACACAAAAGAAAACTACAAAACCCTCTGCAAGAAACAATAAGACTTAAATAAATGGAAAAATGTTCCCTGTTCATGGAGAGAAAGTTAATGTAGTAAACATGACAATCCTACCAAAAGAAATCTATATGTTCAACTCAATCCCAATCTAGATACCAAATTAATTTTTCAAGGAGATTGAAAGGGAAATTGTCAAGTTTATTTGGAGAAGAAAGAGACCCCAAATAAGCAAAGCACTTCTGGAAAACAAAAATGAAGTGGGAGGCATAGCACTACTTGACCTCAAAACCTAATACACAGTAGCAGAAACTCAAACAGCATGGTACTGGTACAATAGCAGGCACACAGACCAATGGAACAGAATTAAGAACCTAGAAAGAGACCCTGCTAGCTATGGTCAACTGATACTCGACAAGGAAATAAAACCTATCAAATGGGGAGATTACAACCTTTTCAACAAATGGGGCTGGCAAAACTGGGCAGCTACCTGAAGAAAGCTGAAAGAGAATCCATATCTCACAGCATACACAAAAGTCAACTCAAGGTGGATCAAAGACCTAGGAGTAAAGCCCAAAACTATAAAGTTAATAAGAGACAAACTGGGACCATCCTTAGAATGTCTAGTCTATGGTATAAAGAGACTGCCAAATACAGGCAGAAATGCCCATTATGAAGAGAATAAAACTAATGAATGGGACCTTATACAGATTAAATCTCTGTGTATATTAAACATTTCCCCCAATAGGATGAAAAGAAAACATACCAACTGGGGGGGGGGAACAACCAAAAAACAACAACAAAACAAACCTCAAAAACCCATTTGGCAATATCATCTCAGATAAGGTCTCATAACAAAAGTTTACAGAATACCCCACAAGAAAAAGACTGATAACTCAATTACAAAAAGGGCAAAAGACATGAAAAAAAATTTTTTCAGAGGAAGATATTCAAATGGTCAACAGACACATGAAGAAATGCTCAGAATCACTGGCAATAAGAGAGATGCAAATCAAAACCACAATGAGCTACCATTTCACTCCAGTAGCAGTGGTAACATTTTAGAAGGGAAGCAAGCAATAAATATTGGAGAGGATGTGGTAAGAAAAGAACTCTCAAACATTGTTAGTGGTATTGTAAAATGGTACAACTACTCTGGAAGACAGTTTGATGTTTCCTCAAAAGGTTGAACACAGAGACTCTGTATGACTCCACTACTAGGAAAATACTCCCAGGAAATTAGAACTGAGACATAAATGGAGATTAGTATACTAATGTTCACAGCAGTGTTGTTCATCAACACAAGAACATGGAAACAGTCCAAATGTCCAACCACAACTGAATGGATTGAGAAATTGTGGTACATTCACATGACGGAATGCTATGCAGCACTCAGGAGCAACGATTTAAAAAAATTACTACATAACTTGAGAGAAACTGGAGAGCATTAAGCGGAGTAAACTAATTCAGTCTTATAATGACAAATGCTGCGTATGACCATTATTGTAAAAATAGAAGGATAACTAATAAAACATATGGATCCAAGGGGGAAGGGATGGGAGAAGAGGGGAATGAATGGGTAGGGTGGAATCACAGGTAGGTGGTAGAAGGTGTGTAAAAGAAATGGTTGGGGACCTGAGAAGACAGGGTAATTGTGGGCATAATCCAATAGTGATTAATTTTATAAAACATAATGAATGGGAATGATTGTATGAAACACAATGTCAATGAAGAATAGTTGAAACCAATGTACACAAATTTTGTAAGCAAAGCAATATAAAATAAATATTAAAAAAATAAAACCAACAACAAAGAAACTCTCCCAATTACTTAACAGTATTCCACACTAGAAAAGTATGCTTTATACTATTTACAAATATTATAATAAACTATTAGGAGAAAAGCATCAAAAGGAAATAGTGCCTCAAGGGAATAGTACCTAAGGATTCATTCAATCACCTGATTTAGTTACTATGTGAGGTGAGGCACTTTTGGCTTTGTTTTGAAATTATTTTACAAATCCAAAGTATTTCTCCATGGGTAGAAAAAGAAGCAGTGTGTACTGTGATGGCATACCAATGCTGGTGAGGGGGAGCTGCAAGAGGTTTACAGAGGTCAGAACTTGAGAAATAAGTGTCATAAGCTCTCTTTAGGGAAAGATCATGTTATATCATTGGAGGTAGGGAATGCTTGAATCAGTGTTCCTAACTTTCTTCCCTTAATACAGAGTCCAAGAGTCCAAAACAACTCTTAGTATGGAGGTACTTATATATCAATGTATATGCTTTAAAAAATTTGGTTAGAGAAAAATAATTAGGAAATTTAAGAGAGAAGAGCTGTGAAAATCACTTCCATGTGTTGATACATTTTCAAATGACTATCCATACTAAAATAGAAAATTTCATTGCTTAGTAACAACAAAATTTTACTTGAAATACTATACCACACAATTAAGCTTTCAACTACCCACTATTAATAGCCGCTATTTGGTCTTCACAGCTGTTACACTGTAAACTTTTATTAATAAGTAAATAATTGTAAAGGTGGACCTACCTGTTGGTGTAACTCATCTTCTGTTGGAGGTTTACTTTCTGGTGTAGGGGTGTGAGTAGGGCTATGGTTCCTAATGTCATTTTGTAAACCGTAGACAGACTGTGGCAGAATAAACAAGAGTTCTGTCAGTACAAAACAGCATGCACAGCTGCCAAGACTCCAGTAACAATATATTTTCTGTTGGCACTTATTCAGTGTGGTAACACAGTCTTCATATGTGATTAAGTTTCTAACAAAAATTAAAGGCAATGTGATGATAAATATATATATTTTAAAACAGCATTCTAGCTCTTTGCAAAATATCTGCCTAGATTCTTAACTTTGTCAGAGTAACTGGTTATAGGTAAACAACACAAAGAGTTTGAAAATAAAATTTGAGAGTGGGCTGAGAGTATTAAGTTCACGAAAGACTTCACAAGATAGGAGTGGCAATAGGATACTATAAAAATTTAATAAACCAAAACTGTTGTTGCTGTTCATTGCCGTTGAGTCACGCATGACTACTCCATGAACAAAAGACCTGAAGCTTTTCACATGTGGTTTAAGAAGTGGATGCTACTCCTGCTTTCCAGCCTGTCTTAAAACTGGGAGCTCCACAAAACACTATGGTACCAGGTTCAGCATCACTGCAAACCCAGATGTACAACATAGAAGAATGTTCCTCCAGAATATAGTAGCAAAGCATTAAAAGATAATCTCTTGGATTTGATTTATTAAATATAAGGGCCCTCCAGAAGGTTTTGTTGACTCTAAACAAAAAGAAAAAAAAAATTCCACAACCACCCTCAACCAAAACAAGAGAGTCCATCTTACAGAGTCCAGTTGCTTCACCCAGTTTCCAAAATGGAGACAAGGGCTTGGCCTTAAATGCAAGTGTCCTCCTGGAGGTCTTGTTGACTCTAAACATGAGGCTTAAATAAAGAAAACAATCTACACAGACCCTCAACCAAAACAAGAATGCCATCACGGAGTTGAGCCAATGGAAGACAAGGGTTTGGAAATATATATTGTTGTTGTTAAATGCCATCTAGTGCCAACCCCATAAACAAAAGACTTTAACCTTGTTCTCTAACTGTTGTCTTTTCTCTAAATTCATAGAGTGTCCACAGGCATGTTTAGGAAGTGGATGCCACTCCCGCTTCCAATCCAGTCTTAATCTGTTAGTTAATCAGATATTGTCAACCATGTGTGACCATTATGGCACTTGATAGACCAATGGCACAACTAGATAAAGAAAGCATAGTATTTAGACAGTAATTAGTAAATATTAGGCTAAGTAATCTAATGATGATTTAGTTTTTGATGATGTGATCAAAAACATTTCATAGTACTCTAACTTCTCCACATGAGCTTTTGGTTATGTACCAACAATATGGACCTTGTCCTGGGGTATCATCTGAAACAAAACTAAACCCAGAGACTTTATACACTGTTAGAATTTATGCTGCCAAACTGCTTTATTGATTTGTCAAAATGCCAGTTCCGTGATTACCGGACCAGCACACACTTCTGGGGTCCCGTGGTCAGCTGGAGCCTTCCGCTGGCCACCTTCAATGACATGAAGCGTCTCCTGAGCTAATCAGTGGCCGCATGATGACAGTGTTCATTTTCTAGTCGCTGGACTCCATGCCTTCACCTACCACATCCAGCATAGAAACCTGCTGCTGATGGCGTGCCACGGGACCAATGTGGTGGCGCAGAGTATTCAGGGGACCTGCTCTACCACATAGACAGTGCCCAGAAGATGACCCCCACAGACTCTGCAGACCAATCCAGCCAGGTGGGCACCTCGCCCGCTCCTCCACCCCTCAAGTGATTTTCTTAAATGACTGAGTCCGATCAAATGAATCTTTGCAGCTTGCAAGGACAGAATTTCTCCTACAGAAACTGCCAATTGAAGCCTTGCAGTGCAAATCAGACTTAAACTGCAGTTTCCTTAATAAAAATAGAAAATAGCACTGAAAAAAACCAAAGGTATTATTACTTTAAAAAGCATGTTTTACTTTGTGCTATTAAACATTTCAGACTACTGATACTGAGCTTCCTTATTCTCTCATTCTGAAGATGTAGCTGATTTGAATCCTGAGTTTTCCACCTTTGAGGGCTGTGTTTATACTCACCAGTTATGCTTTATTTAAAAAGGTATTTGCAATGAGTAGGCCATTGCCTGTCCAAAATTCTAGCGTGTAATTTCCAGCCTCATTTCTACTACTAAGGCCATATCTCCTGATTACCAATCCTTTTTAAACATAAAACAAAAATTCTCAGGTTTTGGATAAACAATAGCATCATAATAGATGGAAAAAATATTGAAGTTCAACACTCATGGAAGCAGCAGTTAAGAAATAAAATGACATATTGTATTGGTCAAACTTGTGAAAAATCTCTATAAAGTACTCAAAAGCAAAGATGCCAGTTTAAAGACGAATCTGCACCTAATCCAAGCAACACTATTTTTGTGGCTTCATATATATGTATGTAGACCAAAGAAGAATTGATGCCTTTGAATATCGAATACACTATGAGGTGCCAAAAGAACAAATTTCTGTTTGAAGAAGTGCAGCCAGAGTGTTGCTTAGGTGCAAGAACGGTGAGATTTTGTGTCACAAACTTTGGGCCTGTTGTCAGAAGAAGCCAGTCCATGGAAAGAAACATCACACTTGGAAAAGTGGAGGGTCAGAGAAGGAGACAGATTCACACAATGACTGCGACCACGGGCTGGAGCAGGGTCATTCTCTTCCATCCAGTGACACTACGAGTAGGAGCTGATGAGATTGCACCTTAGAACAACATTGAACATTGCTTCTTTGTGCATGAGGATGAAGATAAAATAACATTTTTAAGAAAATAAAAATAAAATGGCAATTGTCCCATAAAATTAAAGTTGCAAGAAAAAAAAAGAGTTTGAGACATACTATCAAGATCAGAAGACAGTGGATATTTAACTTTTAGGCCCATCACCAACTCATGGATATCTTTAAACTCAAAGGTTCTTTCTTCCTGACCTACTCTTACTTGTACCTCATCTCTTAACTTATGTACCTAGTGTCTCCTGTTATTTTGCTTTTAGACCTTATTTAGCAAATTATATTGTGGATTAGTAAATTTCAGGTCATCTTGGTTAGGACTTCTTCAATTCTCCCATTCTTCCTGCAACCTCCACTATCCTGGGACTCGACTCTTGTCACCAGTGACTCATTTCAATACAAGGTATAGCATGTGCAGTATAATAGGACTGAATGGAATAATCTGACTGTAATAGTTTCATTCATCCATTCAATATTTAACATTTACTGAACAATTTTATGTTGATTATCTATTAAGTGGTACAGATACAGTTACAGATACAGATACAGCAGGCAAATAGTTGTGGGGTATTCCATAACCAGAACACATAACCTAACAGAGTGTGAATGTAATACACAAACAATGATAGACATATATGGGTAATTCAGAGTGATTAGTGCTCTTCAGGGGAATAACAAGAACATGGGGCCTGGAGGCAAAAAGATAATTTACATAAAGAAACAGAAAAGGCCTACATGAACTGCTATTTGTCATGTCTGAACACAACTGAACGCAAAAACCATCTGAACTCTGAAATAACATTTAAATTTTTTTGTAATAAAAAGACTTTGTGGTTTAAGTTCTATGCATCTTCAGATCATTCTTGATATGGTTTCTGAATTCACTTGGGGTAGATAGGTCATATTTTGATGCACTTAACACTAGTGATCAAAGACCAGATGTGTTGTAGGATGACATCAAGGACATCATCCATGAGTAAGCAAAAGGTCATGACATAGATAGGAGAGAAATAAAACAACAAAAAAGATGTCAGAAGGTATTTTGATAATTGTACTAGACTGCAAAGAAACTCCCAAAAGGGGAAGAACTGTTGAAGTAAGAGAGATGAACATAAGATTTCAAGAGACAAAGTACTATAGTTAGAAAACAAAAAGGGAAGAACATTCCTGGCATTTCTCAAACTGAAAGAACTGAAGAACAAATTCAGGCTTTGAGTTGCAATATTGAAGGATGCTACCGGCAAAATCTTCAATGAAGCTCAATGGGAGATGGAAGGAATACAAAGAGTTACTGTACCCAAAAGAACAGATTAATGTTAAATCACTTCAGGAAGTAGCATATGACCAGGAGTCAATGGTTACAAAGAAGCAGTGTAAACTGCACTGAAGGCATGGGGAGGGCGGGGAAGTAAGGTCGCTGGTATTGATGGGATACTAATTAACATGTCTCAACAAACAAATGCAGATCTAGATGTGTTCACTGGCCTAGGCCAAGAAATTATCTGTTTTTATTCCAAACAAAGGGGATCCAACAAAATATGGAAATTACCTAACAACACCATTACTACCAAATTCAGGTAAAACATTGGTGAAGCATATTTTTTTTAAAAAAAACAAACCTGGAAAACTATATATTCAATAAGCCAGAAATTCAGGCTCGATTCAGAAGAGATCACAGAATGAGGAGTAACACTGCTGATATCACATGGATCATTGGCTCAAAGCACAGAATACCAGAGAGATCTCTGTTTGTGTTTTATTAACTAAAATGCTTGTGAAGGCATTTGATTGTGTGGGTAATAGCAGATTATAGCAAGCATTGAGAAGAGTGGGGACCCTAGAACACTTAATTGTGCTCACATGCAATTCACACTAAAAGCTGTTGTCCAAATAGAGCAAGTGTTCTACATGGTTTAAAATCAGGAAGGGTGTTGTTAGAATTGTATCCTTTTTCCATACGTGTTCAATCTCTACGCTGAGCAAATAATATGGGAAGCTGAGCTATATGAAGAACATATATCAACAACCTGCATCATGCAAATGGCACAACCTTAATTGAAGAAAGTGAAGAAGACTTTAAGCATCTATGAGAAAGATCCAAGAATACAGCCTTCAATATGGATTACTTCACAATCTCAAAAAAACAAATATCCTACCACTGGAACAATAGACAAGATCATGATGGAGAAAAGATCGAATTTCATGTCAGCAACTTCATTTTACTTGGATCCCCAACCAAAACCCAAAGCAACACTAGTTGAGAAATGAAAAGATGGGTTACACTGGAAATAA